CGAGCGCTAGCCTTGAGCTGAAGAGCTGAGGTACAGCACCCAGGCTGAGTCTATTTCTCTTAGGGAGCACTTCCAGATAGAAGAGTCTTACTTATGCAACTGGTTAAATCATTAGTCACAGACAAAGTTCCAATGAGTCACTTTGATTTTTTTTTTTTGTCGGTCCTGGGGCTTGAACTCTGGGCCTGGGCGCTGTCCCTCAGCTCTTCAGCTCAAGGCAAGTGCTCTACCACTTGAGCCACAGTGCCACTTCTGGTTTTCCAGTGGTTTATTGGAGATAAGAGTCTCACTGATTTTGCTGTCTGGGCTGGCTTTGAACCGTGATCCTCAGATCTCAGCCTCCTGAGTAGCTAGGATCATAAGCGTGAACTACCAGCACCTGGCTAGTCAATTGGATTCTTGGGACTCATAAGTACCAGCACTTCTCTATGTGCACTGTTATAGTCTAAATATGAAATATGAAATGTTCCATCATTGAGGGTTCTGAGAAGTGACTGGAGAAGTAGGAGAGGAAGCTTAGTTGGAAGAAGTCTGTGAAACAAGACATATATATATATATATATATATATATAATCTATTAATTAAAATTAATTTAACTACTATAAAACATTGATTATGGAGCTGGGAAGGTGGCTCAGTGGTAGAGTGCTTGCCTTGCATGCATGAGGCCCTGGGTTCGATTCCTCAGCACCACAAAAGCAAAAAGAAAAAAGCTAGAAGTGGCACTGTGGCTCAAGTAGTAGAGCGCTAGCCTTGAGCTGAAGAGCTGAGGGACAGCGCCCAGGCCCAGAGTTCAGGCCCCATGACCGGACCCAAAAAAAAAAAAAAAACATTGATTACATTTTTTTAAGTTAGATAATCAGTTTCAAGAGGAGTACTCGGGTTATTTAACTTTGTTTTTAAATGGCTGCATCAGAAAAAAAATCTATTTTCTTAATTAAAACATTTCATCACTTTTTAAAAGTGTTTTTTTCAATTTGAGTTTGGTAAAATATTGTTTTGCTTGCTGATGTACTACTACAGACTGTTGACTTGTAGTTTCCTAAAGAGAAAATATGCCTTTTTACTAGAAAGTCTTTGTGTATTGCCAGATTTTCTGTTTGGGAAAATCTAAGGATTTACTGTGATTAGCTTACAGAAGAAATGTGGATTTGATAGACTAATGCCTAACTTATGTTTGATATATAGTAGTAAGGATTTTATGAATGTTATTTTGTGCCCAAAACCCAGAATTGTCACTTATATGTAAGCAGAAAGCTATGAACTCTGCTTCCAAAGTTATTTAATTTTCTTGGTGTTTGAATGTTATTTTTTGTAAGTATATTAATAAAGTGTAAATAATTGGAAAATATATTCTAAAAAAGAAAAAAAAAAGCTGGGCACTGGTGGCTCATGCCTACTCAGGAGGCTGAGATCTGAGGATAGCAGTTCAAAGTCAGCCCTGTCAGGAAAGTGACTATTATCTCCAATTAACCACCAGAAAACCAGAAGTGGTGCTGTGGTTCAAGCGGCAGAGTGCTAGCCTTGAGCTGTAACAGCTAAGGGGTAGTGCCAAGGCCCAGAGTTCAAGCTTTATGACCAACAAAACAAAAACAAACAAAAGAAACTGTGAGTCAAAATAGATCTCTTCTCCCTTAATTTGATTCTATCATGATAAAAGTAACTGACACATACAGTACTTCCTAATTATTAGAATCTTATCTTGTACTTTCAACCAATCAAGGTACAGGCATGAAAAACTCATATGCCAATTGCCATTCATGTGAAAGGTACAATGCTAAACTAAAAAGAACCAAAGCACTCAATACAATAAGACCACACTCATTTCCCTTCCAAGTTATATTTGCAGTTCATTCAGGTACCCAGTCTTCCAAGAGGAAAGCTAGCATCTTGTGTGGCTATAACCAATCAAGCCATAAAATTTTTTAATCTCTCTCTTCTGCCCAAGTTCCCTGGCATATTCAAGCACAGACAGATTTGAGCTCCATCCTGAATCATTTTTCTCTTTAAACTTCTGGGCTAGAAAAAGCTGGAAGAAGGCCAGGAGCTAGAAGGAAAGAATGGCTTTCCTTGAGAATTCAGAATTTGTATTGAACTTCAGCTACAGGTGGCCACTCACTTGTGGGTTACCTGTTCAAGCTTCCAAAGTTTTCAGAGCACCCAAAGGTCCATATTGAACAGAATGTTCCTCACTTCTGACCTTATTTCAGATTTGAGGATTCTTTAGCTAAGACACATCCACAGTGCCCTTGGAGGACAATGAAGCCTGTGGACACAGTGTCATTCGATCCCTCCTCCACCTACCTAGAGGAGCATAAGCAACAACCAATTGTACCATTTAGGCAGTTTCCTTCTGGCTTCCACTACCTATCAGCTAACCACTAGCCTACGGAGTGGAGGGGAGAAGGGATCCGTATTCCTCTAACTTATCCAGTACATGGAAAAAACTGTTTACTTACCACTAAATCCTAGACAGTTGTCTCATTTCCAAATCTAACCTATTCTTTCTATATGACCACAACTGTCAACATCCCATTCTAATTTTTTATCACCAAAACTGACAAGAATGGTGAAGAGTTTGAGCTTTTATTCATATGAGCTTGCAAGCTAACGAGACTGAGAGTTTTGGACTGGGAAGTTGGCTCAGTGGTAGAGTGCTTGCCTTGCATGTAGGAGGCCCTGGGTTCAATTCCTCAGAACCACATAAGCAGAAAAAGCCAAAAGTGGTGCTATGGCTCAAGTGGTAAAGCACTAGCTTTAAGCTAAAGAGCTGAGGGACAGCACCCAGGCCCAGAGTTCAAGCCCCACCCACGACTGGCAAAAAAACACAAACAAAAAAACAAAACAAAAAAAGACAGAGTTTTATAGATGTTGGCGGAAAACATGAGGTTCTCAGATCACAGGAAAAGGGCCAAGGTGATAATAAAGCTTTTGTTATGGTTGTTAAGCACCAATACCCACAGGGCAATGCAAAGGATGATGTCTGTACATGTGATGGTTTGCATGTAATAGAGGAGTCTCGAGCATACAGCATACATACATCTTCTACCTTCTTGATTCATTTCAGCTCTGGACAGCATTTTAAAATAAAGGCAGTCTGCATTCTTTTTGTGCTGCTGTTGTTATGCCAGCACTGGGCTAAATTCACTGCCTCCTACTCTCACTTGGCATTTTCACTAAAGGCTGACACCCTACCACTTGAGCCATGCCTCCACTTCTGGAATTTTGCTGATTAATTGGGAGATGAGTCTCTCAGACTTTTCTGTTTTGGACTTGCTTTGAACCAGATTTCTTAGATTTAAGCCTCCTGAGTAGCTAGAATTATAGGCATGAGCCACACACACCAGGCTTATACTTTCCTTTTCAGATATACAGAAAAGCAAGTGGGCCATAGAGAATCATCTAACAAATACTTCATTATGCACACAGAAAGTAGAAATTCTCTTCCCATTATTAATTACTAACAAATAGGCCAGAAACTTAACACCAGTCCATGGGATGCTAGTTTCCTCTCAGTGGACATAGTCCTGTTCTCTAACTGCCAAAAGTCTTCTTCTAAGGCCAAAATTTTCTTCCATATCTCACAGGCCAGCATTCATGATCACTAGCCATACATTAACAATTGGATGGATTTCAGCAGAATGGGGGTGAATTAAGGATTTTTAGAAGGCCAAGAAGGTGACGTGGATACCCATTGCAACTAATGATTCTCACCTGATCTGTCTCAGCTCACCAGAGAGATAATGAGCACCCACTTGTCAGTAGATCTTACTGAGGACAATGGAGAAACAGCAAAGCTAAACACTAATTGAATAAATCCTAAATCTTCATATTCATTATTCTGCCTGAAAGTATGAATACAATACAGCTCACATATAACCATACTTAATTTCTATCTACTTCAAAACTTAAATACATACCATGCTTACTACTCCATTCTAATTGTGATGGTATCAATGGACTTTAAAGGTCTATTGCTTGAGACTTCTGGACTAGAAAGCACTTCAAAAGATCTAGGGCCCAAAAAATCTGAATTTTTAAAGATTCACAAAACTTTGGTGAAAAAGCATCTTAAAATATATAATGCAGGGCTGGGAAGGTGGCTCAGTGGTAGAGCACTTGCCTTGCATGCCTGAGGCCCTGGGTTCGATTCCTCAGCACCACATAAGCAAAAAGAAA